TACGGAAAAAAATCATTTTATACATTCCATGTTAGTATATATGCAATTACATTAAAATGTCTCTTCACATGCAAAAGGCCTCGAAATAATTAGATTAAAATGATGCAGTTCTTTAAAGATATCAGAATTCTTGGTAATTTTTCAAAGCTTTCAAGAAAGTCTTTCCCATCTTTTTTTACACTGAGAAGAAAAAAAATCAGTAAAAATATAACAAACCTCTCGTACATCATTGGTCATAAGCCAGAAGTGATTCTTTAAATTGGATTCAGCCAATGCTGAGTTTATAATCCTAGAAAATGTTTGACTCTCTTTCTCCATCCAACAGATAAGATTTAAAATAACAGTTTCAGCAACTCTTCTCATCACGCCTCTTCAAATTCTCTCAAACTTGATCCAGGGAGACCTCCTCTGGAGATGAGAGAGAAGTTCAGTTTGGAGTTCAAACCTTAAGCAGTGTCTGAATGACTCCAATAAAGAAAAACTCTCTCTTAAAATATCTTAGTTAGCGTCTCTTTGCATCTAGCTTATGCCAGCCAAGGTAGAGGCAACACAATCAGCTACACTTTATGAAATGATAGGAAAGAAATTCTCAACAGAATCATCAAAAAATGGAGAGCTAACTACTTGGGTCAAATTCATTTGGCCCAATTTATCTTGCTTGAAAATAAACATTGTTCAGGAAAAGATCTGTTTGAAAATGAATTTCCACTTCAGTAAAGTCTTAACAAAAATAACAATCATTAATAATCCTTGGAAAACCAAGCTCTTGTATTTATAAATATAAGATATTACCATATTTCCCAATTTAACAATTTATCCTAGCTGGGTTTTTTTGTTTTTTTTGTTGTTGTTGTTTGTTTGTTTGTTTGTTTTTGAGATGGAGTCTCACACTGTCGCCTGGGCTGGAGTGCAATGGTGTGATTTAGGCTCACTGCAACCTCCACCTCCCAGGTTCGAGCAATTTTCCTCCTAGCAGTCCTTCATTGCTGATATTGACTCTGTAATACCAGCACTTTGGGTGGCTGAGGTGGAAGGATTGCTGTAGGTCAGGAGTTTGAGACCAGCCTGGGCAACACAGCAAGACGCCATCTCTTTAAAAAATTTTTTTAATTAACTGGGCATGCTTGCATGCGCCTGTGGTCCCAGCTATTCAGGAGGCTGAGGTAGGAGAGTTGCTTGAGCTCAGGAGGTTGAGGCTGCAGTGAGCTATGATTGCAGCACTGCACTCCAGCCTGGGTGACAGGGCAAGCCTTTGTCTCAAAAAAAAAAAAAAAAGGAAGAAAGGGCCCTGGTAGGTTAGGCCAAGAGCTTGGTGTGAACAGGGGCTTAGTGACTGGAGGACCCACCTCCTGCCCCGGGAGAAGTGAGGAGGCCAATGTAGCTGAAGTTGAGATATGAGATTGGAAGTTCTACAGAAGTTCCAAGGCATCCCCAGGTAGGTCTTGAAATCTATGCCCAGAACTGGCTGTCATTTTCTAGCAACAAGAAACCCTAGGCAGGGAAACTAGTTACAATATTGCATCAACTGAGATCTCAAGTAATAAGTCCCAAGCCCAAATGGTAGAAGTGAGAATGAAGAAAAAGGAACTAGAAACTTTATGAAAAAGAAAAAATATATATAATGAAAGAATTTGGCCTTGGCCCTATATCTAGCCAATTATTTAGGGAGAAACTTCAAGTACTTTGGGGAAGGGAACAAGACGAGTTCTACAGAAACACACACAGGCATATAAGTAATTAACGAGGGGGTCTGACCCACTTGTGTGTGGTCTGGAAGTTTGTATAAAATACCTCCACTAGCCTGCTAGCCATGTTATTTCTAGAAGTTGACTTTTCATTTTTTTATTTTTTACTTTTATTTTTTTGAGACAGAGTCTCACTCCGTCACCCAGGCTGGAATGCAGTGGCATGATCTCGGCTCACTGCAACCTCCGCCTACTGGGTTCAAGCAGCTCACCGCAACCTCCGCCTACTGGATTCAAGCAATTCTCGTGACTCAGCTTCCTGAGTGGCTGGGATTACAGGCGTGTGCTACCTACCACTTTCAACTAATTTTTTGGTATTTTTAGTAGAGATGGGGTTTCACCATGTTGGCCAGGCTGGTCTCGAACTCCTGACCTCAGGTGATCCGCCTGCCTTGCCTCCCAAAGTGCTGGGATTACAGGTGTGAGCCTCTGTTCCTGGTCCCTTTTTTCATTTTAATATTGTTGTAGTGGTACCCAGAGTTATCATTGCTTTCAATGCAAACAGCAAGGATGTGTTTCAAACATTAGATAGGAGTCACTCTCGTGTCATTATCCTACCATATCTTTTTTTTTTTTTTTTGAGATGGAGTTTTGCTCTTACTGCCCAGGCTGGAGTGCAATGGCGCAATCTCAGCTCACTGTAACCTCCACCTCCTGGGTTCCAGTGATTCTCCTGCCTCAGCCTCCCGACTAGCTGGGATTACATGCACCTGCCACCACACCGGGCTAATTTTTGTATTTTTAGTAGAGACAGGGTATTGTCATGTTGGCCAGGCTGGTCTCGAACTCCTGACGTCAGGTGATCTACCTGCCTCAGCCTCCCAAAGTGCTGGGATTACAGGTATGAGTCACCGTGTCTGGTCCCTACCATATTTTTTTTAATGCAACATAAAAAAACTTACAGAGCATGTAATTTAGGGGATGAGTATTGCATTTCCAAAAAAAGAAAAAAAGCTACACATAAATTTAATTTAAATAACAAAGTCCTCCAGTACCTTCAGTCTGAAGAGTTTACAAATAGAGACATAATTACTGGAGATTTTTCTATCATACCACCACACTTCACACACACACACACACACACACACACCAGAATATATGTTTACAGGCTATTTGTCATACAAATAGTCTTCTTTGACTTCAATACAGGTCACGTGATTAATAATCTTCAATTCCTTCATGAAATTTTTTGTAGGACTCCAACCATGTGTTACCATGCAATCTGAGTATTCCAAGCAACTTTATCAAAACTCTTAGAACAAAAAGAAAATAGTCAGACATAGGAGAGAAAAGTTTTATTTGTGACCTCCTAATAAACATCTTTTAATCCCCTGTAGCTGAAAGTTTAGATATGATTTTATGTTTGAAGCAAGGCAAAGCAAGGAAGGAAGGAAGGGTTTGTAAGGTACTAACTAAGGTCTTACAGAAGTCTGGCTCCAAAACCCATACTGTCCACCATCATGCTATACTGTCTGACCACCATTCTGGGAGTCTCAAAAATTCTAAGGATTTCACAAACTTCTCAACACAGAATATATTTCATTCGCTTTCTTGTAAAAATTAAATTTTGTGTGTGTGTGTGTGTGTATTTTTATTATACCACCACACTTCACATACACGCACCAGAAGATACATTTATTTACAGGCTATTGATCATATAACTCTTCCTTTGACTTCAATACTGGTCACATTATTAATAATCATCAATTCCTTTATGAAATTTCATATCTATATTAATGAAAATAATAATCATTAATCACCTTGGAAAACCAAGCTCATGTATTTATAAATATAAGATATAACCATATTTCCTAATTTAACAATTCATCTTAGCAGCCCTTTATTGCTGATATTGACTCTGTAATCCCAGCACTTTGGGAGGCCAAGGTGGGAGGATTGCTTGAGGCCAGAAGTTTGAGACAAGCCTGGGCAAGATAACAAGAGCCCATCTATTAAAAAAAAAAAAAAAAAAAAATTTTTTTGAGATAAGAGTCTCACTCTGTTGCCCAGGCTGAAGTATACTGGCACGTGATCTCAGCTCACTGCAATCTCTGCCTCCCAGGTTCAAGTAATTCTCTTGCCTCAGTTTCCCGAGTAGCTGGGATTACAGGTGCCCGCCACCATGCCTGGCTAATTTTTGTATTTTTAGTAGAGACAGGGTTTCACCACGTTGGCCAGGCTGGTCTCGAATTCGTGACCTCAAGTGATCTACCTGCCTCAGCCTCCCAAAGTGCTGGGATTACAGGTGTGGACCTCTGTGCCCGGCCCCCACAAAATATTTTTTAATTAGCTGAGCATGGTAGCATGTTTATTTCTTCTCCCCCTCCTTTTATTGGGGTGACACGTGATATATAAGAAATAAACAATCACAATATGTTTGTGTTCTGTTTCACACATTCAACAATAATTTACTCAGCCTCTAGGTGCCACATATCATACCAGGCTCCAGGAATCTGATGGTGACAACACCTGACTACCTGTGTTTTATGGCACTTACCACCTAGTAGGAGATGTAGTCAAAAGGAGATCTAATCAAAAGATCCTAGTAATCAAAATATCTCATTAATAAATGGGAAATCCCAACCAGCCAGTACTGTGAAGGAAAGGTGTCTACTCTGATGCTTTGCAAGTATAAAAGAATGGGATTCACTGGGGTAGGCACTGGCGGAATCAAGTGCAGTTAAAAAGAAGGATTCGGAAACAAACAGTTATGAGTGAGTAAAATCAGAGTGCTTGAATTAATAGAACTGTATAAATTCCCTACCGCAGAACTGTAATAGTAATAAAAGCTATCAAAATAAAAACTTACCCAACTATAAAATGTAGTCAGTCAACTAATACATTTACGTCATTTCGAAGAGCTGTCCCAGTGGCTTCTTCGCGTGATGTGGGAACACCATCATTTAAGCAGAAATTAAAATTGACACCAAGCCACAGTGTTCTGCGGCCTCTGGGCACATTTACGGAAAACATAGTGTGGTTTTGGGTGGTATTTTGGCATTTTTAATTTCCTGAACTAATATTTCTTATTTAAAAATTTAAGTTTTGAGTAGAAAGCATTCCTGGTATTCCTTTTGCTACTCCATAAAGTAAAGCACTTAATCTCCAATAGCACCACTTGAATCATTGCTATAACCCCCTTGCCTCCGTCTCATCCTCACACTCAGCCTGTCCCCTGCCCACCGCCCTTGATCCTTGCCCAGTAGGCAGGACCTACTCAGATGTAGAGTGTGGGGGGTCGGGGTAGGTACTTACTTTCTTTGCTCAAGCAGAGCAATTTCCTTTTTGACCTCATGGTATTCTTCTGCTATTTGGCAGTGCTGTTTGAACACCTCCATGGATTCCGCGGAGTCATGACAAGGTGGCAGGGGCTTCACAAACAACAAGAAGAAATTAGTCCATTTCTTTGCATCAGGATAAATTACCAACCATTTTGCTCTGCTGATGTTCTTTAAAGGAAGGTTTTTTCTTTCTTTCTTTCTTTCTTTTTTTTTTTTTAACATGAGAACAGCATTGTTAGTCACCATTCAACAGAGTTCAACTGATTCTATTTGACTGAAAATAGAGAGGTGGACAGATAGTCCCCACATTCGTCTCCCAGTGTCATTCATGGACATCTCTGGCCTAAGCCAGAGCCCTGAAATCCATTACGTGTCAGTTACCTGCCACGTGATGGAGTAAAAATAAGTCTCTCAAGGATTCTACAGCACTCCCTGGAAATCTTAGACTCTGCTTTAGAGAAGAGCAGTGGTGGGGAAACAGTTCAGTTGTCTGTTCAATTACCCCTTGCTTTCTGTTCCTGTAGTCAGGAGGTATAATCTCATCTTGCAGAGTAGAGAAGAAAAGCTCTCTTCTGAGAAATGCATCTGACCTAAAGAAAGATGCTGAGCCAGAAATAATGCTTGCAAGGATTAACAAACCTGTAAGAAAGGCCAGATCTCCCTCCCCCTAAAAAAAAAAAACCATCCGTGTAAGATTCATGTCTCTCTTTTTCTCCCATCCATGGAAGAAACAAAGAGCGGCGCGGCAAACCTTTCTGACTGCAACATGGTGAAAACCCTACTTCTAGGAATTATTTTTAAAGAACGAGTTTCCCCCAAGTGTATTATTCTAATTTCTTGTTTAGCAATGCGTGATTAAAAGTACTACTTTTAGGCCAGGTGGATCGCTTGAGGCCAGGTGTTCAAGACCAGCCTGGCCAACATGATGAAAACCGATCTCTACTAAAAATACAAAAATTAGCCAGGCATGGCGGCATGCACCTGTAGTCCCAGCTACTTGGGAGACTGAGGCAGGAGAATTGCTTGAACCCAGGAGGTGGAGGTTGCAGTAAGCCGAGATCATGCCACTGCATCCAGCCTGGGTGACAGAGTAAGACTCCATCCCAAAAGGAAAAAAAAAAAGTACTACTATTAGGAATACTAGTTAAGAGTTTTTTAAATCACCCTTTTCAATTACATGTAGAAAAAAAATGTATATAAAATCTGAGAAATATCATTTATTGTGAAATAGGTTCTTCAATCTTATCCTTTCTTCAAAATGGTGTATGTATGTGTGTGTGTGTGTGTGTGTGTGTGTGTGTGTATATATATGTAGTATCTGACAAGGTCATATTGTCACTAATTTTATATAAGGAAATGGAGAACTAATGAAGTTTTTACTATTTGTTCCTCTCATTATATTCTTCAAGGACACAGATTTCTGTGGGTGTCATATTTAGTGATCCTTCCCACGATATAATAGAAATTCAATAAACTTTACTGTCTGATTGATAGATAAGATGACCTTCCCTATTTATCATGAGGCCTCTGAGTAGGGATGTTTAAAGGAAATAAAATTCTAAATAGATTTTGATCAAATTTACCTTCACGTGGAACATCTGTGACATCCTAGTTCATGGAAAATCTAATAGTAATCATATTAGGCAGCATCTTTCTCTACTGCCCATGAACACATTCACAGGATAGACTCAGCCTGTTGGAACCACTATCCCTTTCTATACGGGATTAAATTGAAAAATAATGCACAGTAGTACTACAGTATAACTCTCCCCATGAGATAAAGCTGTTGCCAAAGGAATTCAGAACTCCTGGCTCCTCCAGTCTGTGCCCCAGAAATCGCTACCCACTCATCAATTTTCACCTGTTACACTGGCAACTTACCAGGTATAACAGTAAGGGGAATGAAAGCAATTTATTCTGGGCACCATAGCCAAGCTGTTAAATCATCTGTGCCCTGTTAAAGGATTTGTCTCCTGGAAGGTCCTAAGACTACACATCAGATCCTGTCCTTACAAACACCACACGGGGCTATACTCAGTTGAAACAAGAGCTCAGTACATGTAGGTAGCTGAACCACGAATTCAGTACAGTTAACTATGTGACAGCCAAAAAGTTCTAGAACTCTGCATGAAGGATTCACAGCTTTAAGAGAACATAGAGAATAGCCATGTAAAGGGAGGTATGTCTTTTGCTGCTATAATTTAAAAGGAAAACTGAAAAGTACATTAATAACTTTCTTAAGAAGACAGAGGCCTTCCCTTCCTCACCCCCAGCTTGCCACCTGTAATGCTTTTCACTAAGTGGGAAATGTTGTCGTTTGTTCTTTTTTTATTATTGGCACCTCTTAATTGTAGGAAATTCAAAGATGTTATTATCTGTAGGTAGCGTGATCGTGCCACTAACGGTATGTAATGATACATATTTCAAGATACCCACATGTGCTTTCAGCAGCACGATCATGCTATCTATACATAAAAATATTTTCAAGACTTCCCATCATAAAGAAGGGACAATCAAAAAAGAATAAGCCTATAATACTTTGTATCCAGTTTTCAGAGAGTACAAAGATTCCAGGGGTCATTTCAGCCTCTGGATCCTGAAAACGAAGCCTTCAACTTGACATATAACTCAGCAACACTTCAAATGCTCCCAGTTTGTATGAAAACATTAAAGAGTAATATCGATTTCTCTTTTTTAAGCAAAGAGGAAGGTTATATTGCATAACCCACCAAAACATTGTAAAATTCTCTCATTAGTTGCCAGAGGAAGAGGGAAATAAGGAATTGTTGTTTAATGGGAACAGACTTTCTATTTTGCAAGATGAAAAAGTTCTGGAGATTGGTTGCACAACAATGTGAACATACTCAACACTACCAAACTGTACACTTAGAAATGGTTAAGATGGTAAATTTTATCATATGCATTTTTACCCATAATGAGAAAAAAATTAATGCAAAAAATTATTTCATTAAACCTTTCTGCTGTCTCTAGCCCATCGTCTTCTAAGCAGTGCTGCCAGGGTTACCTAGGAGAATCTGACTCCACTTGTAGTCAATCTTCCTCACTTTCCCAAATTTCTCCCCAGAGAACTTCAAATTTCTCACCCCTTTATAATTTCAAGCCATTCACTGGTAACCCCAAACACGTTTTTTGCTGCTGGGATATTGGATATTCCAGCAGCCAAATAATAATGGATATTATTGCCATTGTTTGGCAAATCAAAGTGCCCTTGGGTCAACAGAATCCGCTGTTCTTAGAAGGCAGTTGACATCATTACCCATTTACCCCAGCCCAGGAAACTGACCAAAGAATTTGCTTAAATATATATGGTTCTCGTCCCACCAGGCTAGTGAATACAAGTATCAAGATAGTCAGGTTTTATACCTAATATAAAAAGTGGCACTGTAGAATAATCTGATGTGTTGTTCTGTGGGGGACAGAGTAACTCTCATTGCTTTGTGATATAATGTGTGTATGTGTGTTGTATCATCAGGTCCTGACTGAGGGCAATCCTCTCTTACCTTACCTTTTGAGAGGTAATCCCTCAAAATAAGAGACAATATATGGCCAACAATATTAATCAAACATAAACTTCTGCCTGAGGAAATCGATTCCTAGAATTCAAGAATCAGGTTTTCAGTTTAAAAATGGAGGACCAGTACGCTTAAGTAACATGACATGTAAAACACTGGCACTCATGAATTAATTGACTCTACGTGGGTTTATGTAACACATGCTCAAATTAAAAACTGAAAAATAACTTAAAAGAATACCTGTGGGTAACTAGATGAAAAAACATCTATTAACTTCTTGGAATAAAAGTGACACTATTTCAGTTCTCATTGCTTGATTTTGACTGTTCTTGTCAGAGAGATTTTCATAGTTCTAAGCCCATGCTGGGAACGGATGTACGATAAATAAACTCTTAATGTTGTTAAATAATTTTTTTTTCAGATCCAGAGGAAAAAAATTCCCTTGTTATTTTCTGCATAATGATGCTACATCCTCCCATTTTGGATACACTTAGCCCACCTTCCTGCTTAAAGAATGAAATATTGCACTTCAAAGAAAAGGAATCCAAAAATAGTTCAGTTGACAAGTTGAAGAAAAAGATACCACTGATGTACTGGAGCACAAATTCTGTGTGGTCACAGCAGCAGCTTTTCAGATGCACTCACTGCCATCGTATCTGGTTTACTATACAACACAGCCAGTTCTAAGGAGGTGAAATTAAGACATTCTCCTAACAGTGCCTCAAGCCAACTTTGAAACACATGTTTCCAAGACACAGATTGGGGCTAGGGTGAGGTCACAGCCCAGGAGGAGATACTTCCTCCTCACCCTCTTTTCCTCCATCTCCGCCTCCTCCTGCTGCCGCCTGAGGATGGAACTCGCAAGGGCTTAATATTTCATGGCAGTGCAGTGTGAAGGAGCTGCTACTATCTCTGGTATCCGCCCCAATTATCAAGACCGATTTAACAAGATGAAGTAAGAGAGAAACCGCAGGGTCCCGTTCCAAGAATGCCGGCTTGAGCCACAAGGTGCTATTCTGCTCTCTGCCTGAGCCGCCGGTTCATAGCAAGCTCCTCCCGAAGTGGATTCCACTCCCCGGAACAGGCCCCATGGGGAAGGACGCAGCCAAGCCACCCTGGGCTAGGAGCAAAGCCGGCTCAGGCGTTTCCGTTTTCTACTTGGCTTCTGCGAATGCTACTGGCCCCATCCTCTTCAAAAATGTAAGAATTTAATTTTCCTATCCCAGCTTCCCACACAGGAGATATATTTAGGAAGCTAAACATTCTACACTCGCTGAACAGTCTTTGTATTTATTCCTTGATTCTCAGGGTTACCTACTTTGGGGAAAGATGGGGGTGTCCGATTTAAATTTACATTACATTGTAATGTCTTACAATTAACAAGCATCGTTTGTTAAAACTGAGAGGAAAAACACAGTCCCTGCTGATGTCGATATTTAAGAACTCTATTATCTTAGAACTTTAAATATTTTAAGAACTGACATTTATATAGTATCTACATTACAGTACAAGTTAAGCACTGTCAATTATACTACAGAACTTATATATCATGTTACA